GCCGCCTGCTCCCGGGGCAGCGCCGACCCCACCGACACCCTCCGCGGAGCCCCCGCCTTGCACCCCGCGGCTCCGGGCTGTCGCCTTCCCCTTCCGCCAGGCCATACGACGTTAAAACATTTTTTCCGCCTCTCATCGGGAGCTTTGACGGTCCTTTAAGGCGCTGCCACCCTCGCCCCGGTACGAAGAGCACATCCGAGTATTTCCAATTTACAGAGGCACCAGTCCCAGGAGCAGCGGGCAACAGGAGCCTACCAAGGATATTTTTTCGTAAAAAGCCAAAAGGACAGCAGCTATTTGGAGCGCGTGGCGTTACGCGGATTCACGAGCAATTCGCGTTTCTAGTTCAGGAAAAGGAGCCTGGAGGAAAACGGCCCAGGGTCTTGCGAAGCAAGGTATTACAAGGTGAGTTTGGATTGTGGGCAGCTGCCTCGGGGAAGCTGCCCTTTCTCTGCCAGGGCACACCTGCAGCGAGGGGGTTTCTTGCTGGGAAAGAGGTCTTTAAACATAAAAGCAGACACTGAAGGAACATACTGATTTTTGTAACTGTTCTGTTGAAATTTCTAAATATTATATTCTGGCCATTTCCTCTCTCTCCTGTTTCATGATAGAGAGTCATTCCTGCCCCCCAAGATAGAGCCAGACCTGTGTCAGTCATGATACAGGATTAATCTACAGATGATAGTTTCAGGGGACTATATAAAGGAAAAAAAATATGATCTTCTATGTGAGGCTCCTTCACTGCAATAGACTGTATTTCTGTGGCGACTTCAATGCCTGGCTTCCTCAGGTCTTTCACTGATGACCTCGGTATTTAACTAGCCTCTATTTCCTCCTCTAGCCCCCTATTTAATTTCCAATTTTTTTGAGGTTTCTAGGTAGCTTCTAAGCCTCCAAACAAATACAGGATCCTGAGCAGCTGCCCCCGCATCCAGCCCGTGTAGGAGGGTACCACAGGGAGCAGCTGGGAGAGAGCAGCTGTGTTAGAGACATGGGCAAGCCTGACCCACAGCCCCCTGAGCCCCATGGCACAGAACGTGCTCGCCCGGCACACGCTAGCTGCACAGCACAACAAAAAAGCCCTCAGCTTCAGCGACAATCCCCACTTCCAGCCCGCAGAGCCACGTTTATCCTGCTCTCCATGGCAAAAAAAGGGAAAGGCCTAAGATTTCCTAACACCAAGAAAGCCCCGAAACATTGACAGAGCAGAAAGGTCTCACCTGAGGGAGCCGGTGCAGCGTTAGCTGACCTAAAATGCTGTGACCAGGGCCAATTTATGGTCACGAGATTGGATCACCTGGAACCAGCCCTGCAACCTGCCCTTACCCCCAGGTGTGGAGAGTGCCCCTGTATCTCTGAAGGCTGAATCCCCCTTGCTACCCCCCAACTGCCAGACAGCAGTAACTCTTACCAGCCTCCTCGCAGGGAGCATGCAGCACGGTGACAGCGGGGCTGCAGCCCTGGGACCACTGCTGGCGCACCCCTAGGAGCAGGGTTTTCTGGCCAAGCGGCTCTCGGATGGGTCTGCCACTTGCAGCCCGTGGGCAATGGCATGTGGAGCCTGCAAGGAGATCAGCCCCCGAGGGGTATTTTGGGTCTCTGGCAATGCAGTTTGCACTCAAGTGGGGCAGGGGTTAAACAGACCCCCACTTGGAAACAGTCAAGTTAATGACCAACCCCCAAATTACTGGAAGAGAAAGAACAGCAGGCTGCCTGTGAGGCCAGGGTGTCATGACCCTCCCCATCACAGCTGTGCTGAATTTATCTGAAGAGATTCAGAGACTGAGAATCTGCCACTTCCCTCGATGGAATTTCACTGAAGTGGAATCCATCACCCCAGCGGAGAATGACATTTTAAACTGCTTTAACTCAGTATCAATGTTCAAATTGATTAGCCTATTTCATCTCAATGGAAATTCTCACCTCATTACATTAGCGGCCAAACTTCAAATAATTTTTGAATCAAATACTACTTAAACAGTATTTCAAAATACTTAGCTGACAAAATTAATCACTTAATTTCAAATTACTGTCTGTGTTTTATGCTAAATTGTCAATGGATGAAATACATAACAGTTCTGGGAGCTGAGCCTGGAAGCTGAGACTACCCAGCTCCGCAGTTTCACAGCAGCACGTTTTCTCTCTGACTTGATAAATGTCTTGCTCCTGGCTGAGCAGCGAGCACAGACTCAAAAGGAGGCTGTGCACAGTATTTTCTAGCCTTCCAAAACCAGCATATTCCCTGATGCACAGGATACTCTCCAGGGAATTAAGGCAGGCAGGTTTGATTTTCCTCAGAGAGGCAACGTGTGCTGAACCCAAGTCCTCCAGTTCCAGTTATTTCTTTAACAGGTAGGGCAGTGGTTTCCAGCCAGGCTGTAAGTGAGCCTAAGAAAACTAGTAATGTTCAATGCTTCACCATCCAGTTCCCTCCGTATCTGGTCTGTCATTTGCTTCTCCTTACTGGCTAGACACCACTGCAGTAGGCAACAGTATAAAATTCCAGCTCGCAGCACTGTCTCCACCAGCTCCGTCTTAGAAGACATTTTTAATTAAAAAAGAAAACAAACAACAATCACTGCCTTTTTTGAGATGCCGGCTCCTGTCCAGCATGCTCTGAGACTGCTGCTGCTCCCAG